GGCTCCGGATTACAAAAGCACTACGGGCATGTTACCATTGCACATCAAGATATTTACGGTTCGGTGAGTTTTTCACTTTTTGAGAAAAAAAGCACTATTCTTCTTTTTGGAACATGGGAGCGCTGGGGTGGGTGCACACAAGGAAGTTCAGTGGTATAGAAATGGAGCCATATTCCGTTCTCGAATTAGGGCGGTGAAAACCCACTATTCTGCTTTGCTCATTATTGCGCTCCACCTTTCCGAGCTGCAGTAGTGCTCTCATAAAAAAGGCGCGCTTTAAGAGGTTTACGAAAAGCGTGGTGCTCTTGTGCAATGTGGAAAGCTTATAAAGAACTTAAAGTACCTCCTTCTGGAGTATAAGCCGCACTTATCTGCAAGGCCGCAGAGACGCACTTCATAGCGTGAGCGGAAAGTTTCTAGTCCAAGCAGCTATTTCTCTTCTATTCTTTTGGTTTTTTTCCAATATTTTGGCCTTCTAATTCATTTCCAAGCACCTCTATTTCAATACAGATCGTTGATGTAAGTAAAAACAATGAGTAAAGTAAAACAGTTGACATTGAGTAAAAACAAGCCAAGTTACGCAAAAATAGTGCAAGAAAAAATATTTGTGCCGTAAGAGGCAAATGCGCTTTATACCCGGTTGCGCCTTATACCCCGGGGAATAGGGTACTTCATAGTTGTCGTACCGAAGCAACTAGGGACTTTAGCTAGCGTACACCCTAGTTAGCTGCGGATTGGGCGTGTCACCCGTCAAAGCCGTTCTCTGCCTTCTTGTTGAAACGCGCATGCGACAAAAGTGGTAGAAAACGAGTAATACGAAGGATATGATACAGTATTGTCACTTGCCCGCTTCAACAACTGGTGGAGAACGAGTTTGGCACCGCGCCAAACGCAGCCGCACTGACACGCCCAACCGTCCGCAGCGAACTACACTATAATTAGCGGGAGAAACACAAGAGGTACCCTTGAAGACTCATTTACTCAGTAATAAAAGGGATGAATAGAAATTATATCTATTCAAGGTGAATAGTCAACTTAGCGAGGAATTGTTTGATGAGATCCATCACATCGTTAGCATGCTTGATCCGGATTCAGCTATTCTGGATGTGAGGACATCGAAGCTTGACACCAAAATTGTCTTGAAAGTGAGTTCGATTTGAAGTTTAACGTCTTTTTCAC